CTTTTATACCTAAGATTTGAAAATTTAATACAAGGCTCCTAAAATATTTTTACAATAGCAGTTGAAAAATACAAGAAATGTATAGTTAAATTTTTTTTTTCTACAAGCATTAAATTTTAATTTTGACAACATACGTAAAAATCACGAAAATTCGCAAATTATTATAAGCTAGACATTCATAAAAAAATTTCTTTTTAAATCTAAGATTTTAAAATTTAATACRAGATTCCTTACAAATTYGTCAATCTTTATCACAAATCATTGCATTCAAATTTAATATCCCATCCATTACAGTAACCTACTGTACAGCAGAGCGACATCCACGACTTACCCGCTTTTTTTCTTTCTTTTTTTTTTAAAGGAAAACGTTTTTCTTCATTATCTCAAAAAAATGAATACGTTCATAAATTATAGTCAGTTAAATAAAATATTATTTTACAAAGCTTTAAATTATAATATAATATTTTATAATGTATTATAATATAATATTTTATAATATATTATGTTAATAAGATATGAATTATTTYATTCTTTGTTTTTGTATTTTACGTATGTAGTAATAATCCATTAACCTATATCTTATATGAAAGTCTATACTAATATTAATATAATAATATAAAGAAGAACAATTGTTTATTTATTCGGAGTAATCACTAGAATCTAWTCATTTTTTTTTTTCATCATTAGAAATTACATAGAATATAAATATTGCTAGAGTAGGTAAGTAAAAAAACTTTTAAATCAAAGCAAAATTAAAATATGCGAATTATTAAATGGTATGATAAATATTTAAAAATATTTTTAGTAGGTTTTTACAATTTTAAATCTAGAACATGAAGTCAAAATTATTATTTTTTAACAATAGCTAATGAATTGTATACTTTTATCAGTGAATTTTCAAAATGAATCATATGATATAAACAATAAAATTAAGTTTTGTTTCCATAAATTAGAGATGATAATTTTCAAGATCAAATTATTATAACGTTATTAATAGCACTGTCTCGTCATTTAAATTGCACCAATTTAAAGGTGAACATTTTGAAAAATGTTCACACTTAATTGTCGGTGGTTTATGCACCATTATTGATACATCGACAATCAACATAGGAATATTATACTTACATCTCGTTAGGTTCATCTGCATTTGCCCATTGGCGTAAAATCGGTGACCCATTAAAGTTATCTATTGTATAGGGACGTCTTGTTTGTCGTTCCGATGGAACAGCCATTGTAACGACATTGGTTCCTTCGTCTAGCATCTATAAAATATTATATGTTGTTAGTTTAAATCAAACAACATGACATATAGGTTCCTAACAAATAAAATGTAGTATCATTTATACTCATACAATATGACATTATGTTGGACTAATAAACATCAACATTTTAAATAATATATTGATTAATAAACAAATAATAATGCAAATTAATAGGTATAGTCCCTATATTATAGTGAATATATATTATATATTATATACATGGCATTAGATATATAAAAAGCACGCAAAGAAAAATGTATTTCCAGAGCACATGAGTGCATCAGGCTTATCCAAACTTTTAAGTTGTACAGAAAATAAGTAATAAACAGTTTTCCATTTTCCTAAATCAATGTTCACCCATAATAAAAAAGTCAAACTTTATTTCAACTACCTATATATTATATTATTTTGAATATTTTATTAGAAAAATATGTTCTGTGTTGTGACCTAAAACAAAAGTTAAACCACCTTAGGTAATGTATTTAAAATATTTACAGAATTTAGAGTACCTATTTGATTTATTCCATTAAATTTGTAAATGGTGATGCAGTTTATGAAACGTATTAAATCACCAAGCCCTAATTTGAAATTGAACAAAATATGAAATTTTAAGTAAGATGAAATATTCTTTAAAGGCGTTACTACGTGCGTCCAATAAATGGTATAATTCAATCTACTTAGTATAGTATCATTACATATTATTTTCTCATTATATTTTATTTTATAATAATAGATACAATAGATCGCGTCAGTTATGTATATTTTTAAACGTGTGTTTCCCGCATATCATAATAAATTATATCATTTGTAGGTATTACTGTATCATTATATCATAACAGATTCGTTTCCTAAAAAATAACTACTTTGGAAATCATTAAAAAAAAACTTAATTCAACCTTCTGTAACAAGGCTATGTGATATTTTTACTATAAATATACCAACTTTGTAAGATGTTTATCTCAATAAGTTTTTATTCATTTYAGGGTACGCCGTAAACGCCTTTTTTATATGCACTTCAAAAGGGTAGACTTGCTTTAGGTAGGAGATAACATCATATTATGTATACAGCGTGTAACAGAAATAACTGATGAATTCAATTGATGACCTCTATAATATGTTTTATTCTAATCAATGTGCATACTTACTAATTTTCTAATATAGCCATTGTACAGGACATTTTTAAATATACTTCATAAAMAAATATGTAATTCCTTGTGAACTTTTTGTACATCTTAAAGATTTATGTTTATTAAAAGAAAAATGGGGCTAGCATGCTTGGGGAATCACCCCAAATTATACCCTAAATATGATTATTTATAATTTATATTATTATAAGAAACTAGCTCACCCAGCAATACTTCGCTATAGCAAGATTTCTCAGATATTAAATTACTATTTATTTTCTGGATATTTCTAGATGTCTTTTTATTCTAGACCACTTTTAGTCACGTATTCGTGGTAATATAGCCATATAAATTTAGTGTCGCCACCACGGATTCTTTTTGTTAAAAAAAGACTTTTTGTATGTAGTGGTAAATGTATATGTAAATTATGTATGTAATTTTTTTAGGTATAACTATGGATGGAACAAAAGATATGAATTATGCCATTATTTTGATAATTATTCAAATACTTAAAAAATGTCTTTKTAAACAACGTTATAAACTTTTTCTGGATTGGGGGAAAAAATATACAAATTAAATTTGGATGTCACACGTGACAGGTTGACGTAGTATAATTGACCGTGAGAAAAACATTGAACGCTTAGGTCAATTTGTCGAATTGTTGTCCTGTAATTATAGCGGCTAGGGCTATGCGATAGTATCGATTAATCGTTTTTAGCTATCGATACTATCGATTAATCGATGTTTCTTTACTAAACATAATCAACCGATKTATCGAGTACTCGATACATCGGATAATCGATACAATCGGTTAATCGACACTATTGGTTARGTTAAAAGTACCAAAAGTACCATATGAACAAGATCTATTAAAATGGTGGTCTTTGAACTGTACAACCTATCCATTTTTAAGTGTATTAGCAAAGAAATATCTTACTGCACAAGCTACAAGTGTGGCTTCAGAAAGAGTATTTAGCAAAGGAGGGTTAGTTGTGACAGACCACAGAACATCATTAACTAACGATCATGTAAGTGAGTTGGTGTATTTATCAATGTACAAAGTTCATGTTCCAAAACCTTAACTTTAAAACTTGAAAGTTAATACTTAAATTTACTATTTTTAATTTGTATGCATAATTAAATTTGTTAATCATATTAATTGTTTAATATTTTTGTATTAGTGTTTGTCGAGTTGTCCTTAACCCAATAAAAGGGTGACATTGTATTTATTTTATCTATTTGTTATATTTTGAGTCTTATTAAAATCTAATTATTCATATTAAAAAAAAATATATAGTATTTAATTTATTTAATTTATTGAACTATCCCACAAACCTTTAAAAAATTTTAAAGTACCTTATACTAAATAGTAAATACTTAATARTTAATTTAATATATTTAAAATAATGCATAGGTACTTAGTTAGGTTATAATAATATTATCTATATTGACTATATTCTRTACTAAAAGAATGAGTGCATTTATTGCCAGTCTTGGWAAATGCAATATTCAAAATGTTTGCCCAGGCACTTGGTAAATAGTTATTCGGCTTGTAGCACAGAGTAATATGCAAGTAGTTAAGAAAGAAAACCCACAGTTTTTAGGCATTTAAATTTCTTTGGCAAGTGTAAATACTAAATCCCGTTCGTATACTATACTTAAGAGTTAAAGACGAAAATAGAAAATAGAAAAAACTAAAAATTGTGATATTTTCATACTTTCAATTAAACATTAATTAAATTAAAGGTGCGATTCGATACTATTGGTTAATCGATACAATCRGCGTAACGATACTGTCGATTATTCGATACAATCGGTACATAAAACACAAGTGATTAATCGATACAATCGTTAGTTTTAACACAATCGACTATCTACCACTAGAAGTGACTAYCGCACAGCCCTAATAGCGGCTACTTCGCTCGTTGAMGGAGCATTGGAACGACCACGATGTTCACCATTCCAAACTTTGTTAGAGTGAATTACCAATTTATAGYCTGTAACATTAGAAGGAACGCTTTCAATAGCTGTTTTAAAAGACTTTACATGTCTATTATGAGTATTTAACATATCTTGTAGGGATCTCATTAATACGCTGTCGGGATCTCTTAAATTTATGTTACATCGTGTAGATACTTGTGTATGAGGATCGGAAATAAAATAAATCTGCAAAAATTGATGGTCATCAGGATGATATGGAAAAAGACTGCCGGCAACGTGGTAAACCTGACCCTGTACTTTAAAGGTAGGCATAGACCCTTTATGAACTACCAGCTTGCTTCTGAATGAAGTCATTTGGAAAGCATTGTTGTAATAACGAATATYGCGTGTGAATTGTTTATGTTTTGTGTGACATMCATTAAGAAGGGAATTCAATGGTTCTGGTGGTATAATTATATCATCTAATTTTACTTTGCCATTAGAGCAACATAAGGTTTTGCATTCGTCTTTCCATCTCAGAGCAGAACAAAACTGGCTAACTATTGTAKAATTTCCAATAAAAACTGAAGGGTTATTTTTGTAATGCACCGTTAACTCTTAGTTCATAGCAGAATAATCTTTCTCGACCATGAACCTCTGTCGTTARCATCATCATTATTTGACTGTCGTTATCTACGTACTACACGCATTCTTTTGGCATCATTCTGAGATCGACCAATGTTTAACTTTCGTCTAGGTATTTAAAAAATGAAAGCAATACAATCAATTACGCCTTTAAATGATTAAACCAGCCAACAATCAACAGTTAATAAAATAACAATGTTTATATATTTGCCAGGCAACCCGAGCGCACAATACCTGCCTTGGTTATTAGCAGTATACTATAATATGTACAATAATATATATAGGTATAAAATTTACACGTTTATTTTAATTAATAATAACTAATTATTTATTAACTTAATCGGACTAATGTTTTGCCTTAAACCTTCTCTGTGATGTCCTCTTTAATTTAAAAAAAAATTGCACGACGATTGAATAAGTTTCGGAGTTTATCCCGAACAAAAAAAGCGACTTCATTTTATA